TATGAACCTGAGACATTTTAAAGGCTGAGAGCTAGGTTTTGGAAAGCAGTATCAGAATGGGAGAGGAGGAACAAAGAAAACTTTTGTCTACAAGACACTCCAGTTCTTCCAAGTGTTCAGTAACAGAATGGTAAGGCGTCACCATCAATGAACAAGAAGAATGGGTTACACTTATTCTTATCAGGAACGGCTTTGTAGACCTCGTGATAGGTTGGATTTCATAAAATATCCCTGGAGACAAGAAAGATGAAGATGTAGGAAAACAAAAAGGTAACAGAATAAGTGAGAGAGAGGTGTAGAACAAGGTACATCCATATCAATGTGACATTCTAGGTAGATGAGGGTACTGGGGAGTGTCTGAGTACAAAAGGTGACCAAACGCTCAGCCCATATGCCAGACCAATGCAGAACACAAGAGCGGGTCATGTTCAGCGTGTGAAGAGCTCATGATCATGAGGCCGACCAGCTCGTGATCAGACAGCCTTAACAAACCAGGAGCTGCGGGAGAAGCGTCCCTGCCTGGCCAGCAGACACACTCTCTTAACTGTAAATCAGCAGCCTCCTCTGATTGGCTGAAGAATTTATAAAAGGGACAGCGCGCTAAAGCGCAGGGTCCCGGGTTCCACACAAGCCCTCGGATAGGACTGATCACCCTGTCCAGGAATCCGTGTCCCCATGGACGAATAGTCATACGAATAGTCATACGCATACGAATAGTCACACCCTGGTTATTATTTCACCGAAGAGTGAGCTCTCCATCCGCACGTACATCGGAAAAAGCAACTGCTATCTCCTACCTGTCATCTTTAACTACTGCTTCACCACTGTCCTTTTGTTGTGTAACCACTGTTGAAATCTTACTGTAAGTAAACGTTAAGTTCAATTTTACTATCTTCCAACTGAGTCAGTGTCCCTTTCATCCCCGGCCTGTCCGCAAGGCGGGTTGGTCGTCCACCCGCCCCCCCGGTTCAACTGGTAAACCGCCTGGTGAGTGCTGCGGTTACCAACAGGGAGTTCCAGCAGAGCCAAGTCAGGTAACAAGGAAGGGAGAGATCTTTTCCCTTTCTAAGATGTTCTCTTGTGAAGGCAAACCTGACAAAATCCAGCACCCATCCTTCACCTTGAATTCCCATCCAAAACAAGCAATGTTGGCACAACCTCATTGCCTCTGCTGACAAAAAAAAAAAGGGATCATGGGATTGTGGTCATGACTGGGGAGTATGACTGGTTAGGCGTTGTAGGGGCGAATGTTTGGCAACTTTGATGAGAAGCTTCCACCAGAAATGAAAATGGATCCATTGGAGAGCTAGGACTCCAACTTGAGGCAGAAAGTGGAGGGGTCGCTAACTTCTAAGCTGAGATGCTAATGAGGAAAAAGTGATTGATAGTAAAGAAACCTTCATTGAGCTTGAACAGGAAATGAAGAGATGGACAGAGATCTACAATCAATGATCCACAATCAATGGTAAAGTCATTAGCCACCCAGAAAGGGTCAGTCTTGGTAGTGGGAAAAGGTCAAAAGCCAGGCTAGAAGAAGTTAAGGGAGTTGGACTAAGAGAGATGGCTAAAGGTTGAAGGAGGCCACCCTGCTGAAAAAGGTCAAATGTGGGTATAAAACAGTAGGTTTTACCCAAATTGAGAGACAGCATTAGTCCTGAGTGAGAGAGGGAAAAGAAATCAAGTGAAGATGCAGTGACGAATGATGGTGATGAGGCAAGGGACAAGAAAAAAGAGAACAGCTGAGGGGGAAAGAAGGCTAGTGAAGAAGCACCTTTCTCTCCATAAGTGAGGACAGTAATGGCTCTGCAGATGGACATGGTGCAAAGAGCATATAATGGAAATAATGTGGCATTTACTGTAATGCAAGAAACAGTGTGCAAAGTGATAGCAGGTTGTTAGTGAATAAAGGGGAATGAGGCCTCTGGCCTTAAAGCTGCAGGGACATTATGTGTTTTGATGATGCTGAAAAAGAAAAATGTATTAACCTCCTCACGGAAACTGGCAAAAGCCTAGAATTGGAAAGGACCTGAAGAGTCATCCAGTCCAACCCCTTGGACAGCTGCAGGAACAAACTGTTCCTAAACCAATCCATTTGGGATAATGGGACTGGTAGAAAAACAACCTCCACAACCAGCCTCATGAACCTAGTGCCAATCCATGGACACTTAGATGCTAGGACCACTGAGCTTCGAACCCAGAGCAGCCAAGCCAGTTGGTAGAGTCAAAGTCTGTGGCACCACTGGGCAGATGGTTAGACACCAGCCTTGTTCCTCTTGGCTACTTGACTCCTCATCAATGTCCTCATGGGAGGGACCTATGGAAACCGCAAGCCCCTAATAGGGGAAGCATAAAACACCTCCTACTTCCTGTAGGACTTGTCCCAGCAATAAAACTCCTGTATGTGCTTCGGGACATCTGCCTGGCTCCTGCCTGATCCCTGCCTTGCTGCAGTCTCTGCCCCTGCCATGTTTGGACCTCCTGGCTCTGATCTTCCATCTGCCCTGACCACGACACCACCTCAAATCCTCAGTCTAATGATTCAGACTGCAATGGATACCTGGCGTGACCCCTAGCTTGCCTATGGTAACACACTAAGTGACCAGTCGATCCTGAAAGAGACAGCTTTTCTATATGATGAACTGGGCTTTCTGTATGTTCTGATGAACAAGGCATTCTGATATGCTCTCTTTTCAGGAACAAGAAAAGGAACTTAAGCTTCTGAATATGATCCATGTACTGAGAAGCACAGAAGGAAATGCATGACAGGAAGGTACAAACTGGTCAAGGGCTGAGCAAAGGGTGGAGTTGTGGATATGGATGACTCCATGTTCCCCAACAGAGAATTAACTGAGAGAGACTGCAGACAGTTCAGTGACTCAGGACTGTTTCACAAACTATAGTCCGTGGCACTCCAATGGTTCCAATTAAGAATGCAAATAGGGAACTGGGTATTGAAGTCTAGCAAGAGAGATGGGCTCAAGACAGAATGTCTTTAACTCTCAGAAACTGGCTCGCTGGCTTAAAAGCTGAAGAACCACCACTTAAGATAGCAGCAACACAGAAAAGGTAGGAATGGATCAGTTTGGGAAGCTCGACATCCAGGGGCAACACGTTGGGGTGCACGTGCACCCCCTGAGAGTGCCGGTCCGCCCCTGTCAGGCCACACTCCCTGTTTAGCTGGCGGGAGCCCCAGTGACTCCCTGCAAGCGTGGGCTCGGGAGCAGGACCGCTAGCAAAAGTGGTCATGGGAGTTCCAGAAGTGGGGTGGCCGCTTTTTGGTGAGTAAGATTTGCTGCAGGGGACCCCTCCCCACACTGGCCAGCAGGATTGGCTGCCAGGGAACATGCCCCCCCTGACTCAAGAGGCACCAGACACCCATGTCAACATCAAATAGGTTTAAAGACAGACTATGAATGGCAAAGTTTAGTCAAGGATATAGTAATTCTTGGTTGAAAGAGGTAGAAGAACTGCCTGCAAAAAGTCAAGTTTCCACTAGAGAGTGGAAGTCCTGAGCAAATCCCTAGTGATGAGACTAGATGCAGTTAAACCAGTATATAGCTGACAACAATTGATAAATCTGGAAGGAAAGAGATGCTGGTAAATACTAATACTAGCTGGTAAAATACCAAGTGATCTTATTGTCTTCAAGCAATATGTGCACTAAATTCAGTAAAGTCTTGCTTGAATGTGGACTGAAAGCAGCAGGAGAAGGAAAGGAAGGACTATTTAAAAAAGACAAGTAATTTTGCACTACAACTAAGAAAAGGTAAATGTTCAGATTTGATGGTCAGCTATGAGTCTGTCACACCTCAATCAACAATATATGAAAATATCTATATATATTCATCTTTCAATGGTCAGAACAGTAGTTCTATTAAGAGGATATCAATTTACATAGTCCATAAAATGATTCCTTAAATATAAAAATCTGAACAATTAGTAAAATTAGTCCACTTTGAAAAGTTGTAAATTCTCAATGTTTATATCAGGGCAGTACCCAAAATTCTAAATCAAGAGTAGCACCACACTGTGTCATGTCCTATGACACCTGTAGCTGGAAGCAATCCCTGTTCTATAAAGCCAAATACACATTCTGAACAGTGACATGACCTCTAATTCTACCTCATTGAAAGGTCAAATGATTAGACCATCTGTAAGTAACATACCTGAATTAACAAGAGCATTATGTGCAATTTCAATGTGATGCTCAAGAAGCTTAAGGCTGAATGTTTAAGCTTTAATTTAAAAGAAAGATATTTAAATAAGTTAATATAATTAAAATATTTTGAATAGTTGTAAAAAAACTAAAAAAGACTAAATTAAACCTAATATAAGAAAAACTGGAAGGTTACCTGACCTTAGAAAGAAAGTGAAACAGTTTTCACTGTTTACTTGGAATTAAGTGCTTTTTTTAAGTGTCAAAAGTACAAATTAAATTTGATTTGATGTTAATTTCTTGTGCTTCAGTAACTTAGTACTATCACAGGTTATATAAGTTTATTATTTTACCTTAACACTGTCCTGTTATGTGACCATTAAAATAACTGCTTCTCGTTCATAACACTAAAGTTGTACTGGATCTGATAATGTATGCAATCTTCAGAGACCACATCTGACTTCCTAAGAAATTTCTTAACAGGCAACAGCAACTCCTATTTTTTTTGCAGTGCTACGCCTGTCCTCATAAGCAATTCTTAGAAAGAGACTAGATAAGCAGAAAACCATAAGGTCTGCCTACAGAAGTCCTTGGATACGGTTCCATTAATTTCAATGAGATCAAGATGGGATCACTCCATTGTTGTTCTCAAATGCAAGAATTCTTCATGAACACACACACAAGCCCAGGCCTGAATAAGCAGCCATTAGGCAAGTATTCCCATTGGCTTCACTGGGATTTAGGGATATGGGGACTGGGCCCTTTCCATTACTTTTTTAAGACTAATCTTTCTTTCTATGCGCACCAAAAGCAGCAGTCAGTGATCCGAAACCGTTTGACATACCTGTAGCACAAAGGGCAATAAATGTTTGTGCATGTTTCCGGATCAAAAGCAACTTGTCTTTAGGTAGAGGCAGCTTCCTTAGAATATGTTCAATGAAATCATGTGGAGTCACTGCTGCAATGTTCCACTTCAACTTGCCCAACACCACCAGCTCCCATTCCTGAAGGAGGCAAAAAAGGGAAAATGATAGGCAAACAGGGGGGAGGGAAGGAGAATAAAAGAACTCACTCATTTTAGTCTTTGCAATTATATCACTACTAAATTGGTTCTGCCTGGACATTTTTTTCAATATGCCCTGAAAGCTCTGAAGTTGTTGACATTATTCTTTTTATTCCCTTTTTTTTTTCGAAATACTGAAAATGTCAAGCTCCACTGAAAGTAATGAGGCCTGGCAGCTCCTGCCAACACTTTTCCTTTTTTTGTATCCAGTGTTGAATGCCCACCCAGAAAGTTTAGCCTGAAATTAGATATTGCCAAGGTCACTGTGGTCCTTTCCTAGTAACTTATTTTAAATGGCTATAGCCCTTAATTTATAGCTATGTACAGCCTTATGGAGTGCTGTGCCCACAAATAACCAAAAACATACATTGTTTTAAACTGCAAAAGTTAGCACCACCATGTTTTCTCTACAAGTGCATTTGGTATGTCATAAACTTCCTTAGATAAATCAGACGATTTCTGCTCTAAAAGTAAGTTTTGCAGAAGGGAAATGCACATCACATCTGAGAAGAAGCCTTACTTATAACCTGGCAATTAACTACAGAGGGTTCAATCCCAAACTTCTTCACTCCCAAGGCTCCCAATGAAGCCAATGGAAGCTTTGGGTGGGCAAAAACTGTTTATACCCATAAGCTGCTCATGCCCTGACAAGTGACTGTACATGAAAACGGCATCTTCTCAATCAACAGATCAGCTCCTTGTTTGCACTTTGAACTATATTTGCTGATTTCAAAGTCTAAAGAGAGTTTTCACTGCATTTTACTCCTATTTACCCAGCAGAGTCAACACAGCTCAGAGTGAGGGTGCTGGATTCTGCTCTGCCTCACGCATCTTCAAAGTTATTAACAAAGTGCCATTTACAGACTCTTTTTGCTTGATGATGTTGGTGCCTAAAGGGACCCAGCATGAGTCCTGGAGCCTGGGTTCAGTTGGCAGGGTTGGCAAGTTGAAAATAACTTCTTTTTACTTCTGGACTGAGCAGACCCGCACCCGCATTCCTGGAAGGTAACACACATGGAACCCCACAAGGCCATTCTTACAGTGGCTTTTCAGAACAGCGCCCTGCTTTACTAAACAGCAGTTTAGCCACAAGTATTCCTATTAGGATAATACATAAGCCTTGAAACCTTCTTCCCCCAGATCTCATTATTATTAAAATGGGTCGAGAACTGTTACCTGAAACCAGTCCCGAGTAATTTGTCAAGGAAAAAAAAGTAATCATAAACTATTTTAATAAAATGTCAAATAAAATGTCAATGAATGTTTAATGACAATCAGTTGTGGACTGATCTTCCAAACACTTTCTACCATAGCCCTGGATGTAGGAAAGCATCCTAACTTAGCACAATAGTTTAAGCACATGCTGAACTCCCAATGTATAAATGATTAAGTATGTCCTAAGTGTTTTTTTTCAAGTGCAGCCATGGTATTTACTGTCTTGATTAATACCATCCATGAGACAACTAAATGGTGTAAGCAATGTGGAGCTGTGGTTGTTGAGCAAGATCCTTGCTATGTACCAACTAGATCTTAAAACGTCCTTATGTCAACTCCCAGTGCCTTCAATAGGTGTTTCATACAAGAAGTACTTGTCAGCTCTGGCCCTTTACACACATAAATTAGGAACTGTGAAAACAGAACTCTCTGATTGAAACATGCACCCTCATAAAATAACACTGACCACCAGTCTAGTGCAATATGCCTTGGAAGTGCTTTGCAAATGCTAATTATGTAATCAAATTGCTGTTGGATGACAGAAACTTTTTTTTTCTGTTTTCATTCCGTAAGAGCTGGTTGATAATCCTACTCAAAAGCAGTGGGTATCGGTAAAGTCACCATTATGACTGAATACCAAAAAACTACAGTTACAAAAGCTATAAGAGGCAGAAGGCAGAGCAGGGTGGCATCTGAAGATACTAAATGGTTCAGAGAGGCATGAACTTTCATAGGCAACAACCTATTCCCTTAGCATCTGTTAACATCTAGTAATTTGTTAAATTCAGAGCATAAAGGACCTGGACCCACTGGAATCTATGGGAAAACCTCCACTGGCTTCAAGAGGAACAAGATCCAACCCGAAATGAAAGTTAAGATATGGCATCAATGCTCATTAAAGTTGTTTGAATGTGAATTTTCCAAGGGGTGATGAAAGCCACCATTTATTTTATTTTGTACCTAACCAAGGAAAAAAGTCCCTCATAGTGCAGACAGTGCCTTTGAAACTGAAAGCAGAAAGGAAACTGCAAAGAGAAAAGATGCTGGCAGTGGTTCAAAGGTGAAGTCATTTCTACTTGTGCATGTTTGACACTGGATGGCAGTGCAGCACCAGAAAGTAAGCACCTTTAAAAAGAACTCCGCTCAGAAAGTTTCGTTCCCATTTAAACACATGTACATATATGTATGTGCATGCCGGCAAAGAAGAGCTCTTCTATTAAAAAGATGGATACAGCTGTAAAAAGTATGCAACCATCCCTCCAAATGCCCCAGAAGGGCATTTGCTGGTCCTGGGATCCATGAAATAAATGGAAAAGGGCTAGGAGTCTCCAAAACCTGACAACGTAAAAAATGCAATGCTTTAAAAGTGGGGGGTGCCCCCCACTCCAGGAATCGCCTTAATGGTCATAAAGGGGGTTTAGATGGATGACTTTGGCTCATGGGCAGAAAGGTCTTGAACTGTTGGAATAGTGTTTGGCACAAATGAAGGCTGTGGTTTAAGTCTGGTGGAGAGAGTGAGTGGGGGGAGGAGGCTGTAACAGTGGGGTGCACTGAAGGTAGGTCGGGGGGCTGCTTACCAGCAGCTCCTGGGGCTTGATGGAATTGTCCGTGTATATGCAAAGCTTCTCCGCAGTGAGGGGGATGGTTTCTTTCAGCTTGGAGGCCAGGAACATGCAGACGGCCCCCAGCAGCTGCAGATGGCACTTTCTGGTGGGCACCACAGCTAAAAATCGGTCCAAGTAATTCATGGCCAGGGGGAAAACCTCTTCTTCACACTTCTGCTCTTCACAGACCTGCAAGCAAGGAGGAGGGGGAACGGGAGAAGAGTAGTGCAGGGTGGAGAGGGAAGAAGAACAACAAAAAATGAATGCTCACATGGAGGGGAGCAGGGAGAGGGGCTGTGGAGGGGCGCTGGGGCAGGGCTGCCAGGGCGG